GTTGTATTGGAGATCCATTTTGAGGTATACAGGACAAGTTGGGATGAATTTCATGTACACAAGGGAGATTGAAGGACATTCTGAAGACAATAGCAGAGGCGAGGGTACAAAAACACCTCCATTACTTCCAAGCTTGGAATTTCTCATTTTATATCACTTTGACTCTAATATGGAGTTTCTTCTTAGCATGAACCATGCTCTGTTTCTTCACACATATTCTATTTGTGGATTTTCAGAGAGCTCATTTCTTCCCAAACCCCAAAGGTGCCTTTGATTTTCTGTAATGCTTTCCCGAACTGTGGCTGATTATTTTCCTATGTATTCTGCCCTGGGCATTCTCCCATACTGTTTCAGCTTCTGTGTGGGCTTTCCTTTGCTGTGCTTCCAAAAAAGTGTCATATCAGACTCAAAATGTTAACTTTGTTGCTCTGTCCATGGGTGCTGCCAGATCTGCTGAGTTTCTCCAGCACTTTCTATTTTTATTTTGTTCTCTTTCCAAGTTTGTTCTCATGCGTCCTAGAATTCCATGTTTGAATCCCTCCAATTAGGTTTCCGACTCTGCCACAGTACCAAGCTGGCAGTTAGCCAGGATGCAAATGGAAAGGCAAACAATCCCCTTCTCATCTTTCTCGATCTATCTTTAACTTTTAACACAGTTAATTACACCATTCTCCTCCAAATCTTTCTACCGTCATCCAGCTCAGTGCGACTGCACATACACTATTCTATTCTTACCTATCTAACTGGAGCAAAAGAATGATCATTAATAGTTTTCTTCCCAGTCCCACACAGTTACCCTAGTGCTTCCCGAGGTCCTATTTAAAACCCCTCAGATTTAGGGTGACACGGTGGCTCAGTGGTTAGCACTGCTATCTCACAGCACTAGGGACCCAGGTTCGCTTCTAGATTTGGGCAACTGTCTTTGTGGGGTTTGCACGTCTCCCTGTGTCTGCTTAGGTTTCCTCCTGGTGCTCTGGTTTCCTCCCACAGTCCAAAGATATGTAAGTTAGGTGGATTGGCCACGCTAATTTTTCCTGTAGTGTCCAGGTTAAGTGGATGATCCATGGTAAATGCAGGGCAACATACTTAGGGATGGGCGGTGGTCTGGATGGAACAGTCTTCAGAGGGTCGGTGCAGATTCGATGTGCTGAATGGCATCTTTCTGTAATGCAGGAATTCTATGATTCTCATCCACGTGCTGTGCCTTGGCAACATGATTCAAAATTAACAGTTTCCATATGTATGCTGATGATACCCAGTTCTGTGTCACCACCACCTCACTTGACCTGACCACTGTCAGTATATTGTTAAGACTGCTTATCTGACATCTTGTGCTGGATGAGTAGAAATTTCTCCAATTAAATACTGGAAAGAGTGAAGACATTGTCTTTGGTTCCCACTCAAAACTCCATTCTCTAGTTACCAACTCTGGCAGTTATCCAAGGATGAAACAGTTTGTTTACAATCTCAATGTCACATTTGACAAGGGATGTGATTTCAATCACTATCTGTGCCATCACTGAGGCCAAATGCTTTTAGCTTTGTAATACTGCCTGACATTGCCACCACTTCAGTTTACCCACTGCTGAAACTTTCATCCATACTCTAGCTACCTCCAGAGCTGGCTGCTCTAATGCACATCTGGTCCGCTTCCAGTTCTTACCCTCCGTGAACTGGGTGACATTAAATACTCTGCTTCCATAACGCTCCAGTTCCCCCAACACCCTGGTGCTCATTGATAGAGCAGTGTCCCGGCTAAGCAATACCTTCATTTTAAAATTCTCCTTCTCTGTTTTAAAGTAATTGCAAAGCTTCTCTCCTCCCCACATCACCCCCTTCACTCCTAATACCCTCTAGACATCTGTGTTCCTTTAACTGCTGCCTCTCCATCATCACCATTTTAATTACTCTACCATTGGCAGCCATGCCTTCATCTACTAGAGCCCTTAGCTCTGGAATTCTCTCCCTGAAGGGTTCTGCCTCTATATCTCACTTTCTATCTTTAAGACACTCCTTAAAATTGACAAGGTTTTTTGGCCACCTTCCCTAAAATTTCATTATGAGAACCAGTGTCTAATTTTGTTATATCATATCTCTATAGCACTTTTGTTAGTTTTATTATATTGAAGGCACTATTTAAACATAAGCTATTGCTCTTGTGGCAGTGATCACACACCCCATGTATAGTGATGGAATGGAACCCCTGTCTTCTTCACATGAACTAAAATATCGATACTTAATTGTTAAAGGGCGTGAAGAAAAGTTTAAAAATAAATGTGAATTGCTGCAGTGTTTAATGGTATATGTTTACTTTGTGTGTACTGTCTATTTCATTGTGAATAGGAATATTATTAAAAGGTCTTATTTAAAGCTTGTGGGTTAATTCTGTGACCCCTGGAATTCAGTAAATGAAAATGCGCTCTAGGGGAGTGTTGGTTGAAGATTAGGTTGCAAAATGGGAAAAGTCACCAGCTGGGATGCATTCTAGATTGGAGGGAAGTAAGGGTGGAAATTATGTGGCCAATTTGTCTAATGCTCCTTTGTAATGCCGGTAACAAGGTGAGCCAGGAGGACGTCATAGAATATGAGTTCCCTGATCGTGGCTGTTAATCTAGTCCAATCATGAAGCCTTGGCCGGCAGATAAATCCAGGAGTGTTGGACATCCTGTCACTCTGAGAGCTGGCTCTGTGGGAGCTGGATCAGTGCCTAGAACTTTCCACGTGTAACTAAAAGGTGACTTGGTGATAGGCTACTGACCTCAGTGGAACTACTTCATCTTTATCTATGGGAGTGGTTCAAAAGGGCTAGTGGATTGGAAATATTAAATGCTATTCAGAAACAAGGACAGAGGGATAAATTTGGCAACTACAGCCAGCCTGACATTGGTAGTGGATAAACTTTTAAAGACAATAATCCTTGCCAAAATTAATTGTCACCTGAAAAGGTATGGTCTAAATTCTAAAAATTAGAATGGATTTGTTAAAGGCAAATCATTTATGAAGAAGTTGACTGAGTTCTTTACGGAAGTAATGGTAAGAGTTTATGAGGATAGTGTTGTTATTAAAATATTCAAAATATATTTTATAAAGCACCAAAAAAAATTAACTTATGACTACAGGTAAAGCCTGTGGAAGCAAAGGATGGGTGGCAGTGTGGATAGAAAATTGGCTAAAGACAAAAAGGAAGCAGTTAGTTTCTTGGAGTTCACAAGGACTGATGTTAGGACCATTGAACTCGTTCTCGTTTTAACTGTTCCCACATCACATGGGATCATCCTGATAACAATTTATCACTTTTCACCATCTCCAGTCAAATCTCTGTATAATTTGGTCATTGTTTTTGTGGTCAAATGCCCTTCCTGCTTTCTCACCCTCCTTATTTCTCTGGGCTGGGGACTGGCACCAATACATACTGGCTAACCTGCAACGTTGGCTGGGTGCTTCTGCAGTCAACATGTTCTAGACTTGTTACTGCCGGAGCCACAGACAGATCTCCCGTATTAAGACAACTGCTCTAATTAATATGTACAAATAATCTGAACTTGAGAGTACAATGCATAATATCAAAGTTTGCAGATGCCTCAAAACCAAGAAGTGTAATAATTAATGAGGAGGATACGAACAGACTTCAGGAGGATGCATACAAAGTGACGAAAATGACAGTCAATCGACAGTTGGTATTAACATTGAGAAAGGAGTGAGAAGTGATACATTTGCTAGGAAAAACAAGGAGGCAATACAACTGAATAGTGTGATTTTAGAGGCAGTGCAGGAACAGAGAGTCCTGATATTGTTTTTTATTTCCAGCATTCACTGTTCTTTGGTTTTCTGTTAAGGAGGTATATATGATTCTTAGCTTTCTTAGGAGAGGCAAAAAGAGAACATTGTGCTAATAGTTCAGCTGGATTATTGTGTTTAATTCTACACATCACATTTTAAGAGGGATATCAAGGCCTGACGAGAGTGCAGAAGGGATTCACGAGAATGGTTCCCAAAATGAGGGACTTCAGTTGTATAGATAAACTGGAGAAGCAAGAGCTGTTCTTATAGCCGATGGTTAAGATGATGGTGTTTAGCCACCAGGAAGAATTTTGATTCACGAAATGGGAGAAACTATTTCCGTGGAGGAAAGATAGACAATTGGAGGACATAGTTGACAAAAGACCTGAAGTGAGATAGAAGTGTTCTAGACAGGAAGCTGTTATTGAATACACTTGTGTGCATGCTGGTGAAAACAGATTTAATAATAATTTTACAAGATGAAGTTGAATAAATGCTTGAAGGGTAAAAAGAAAGAACTATGTGGAAGGAATAGAGGACTGGAAATAACTGACAGCTCTATGAAAAACAGGATTAAGAGGCTGAATGGCCTCTTTCTATGATGCATCATTCTATACATAGATTAATTGGTTCAATTCTCTGACTCATACTCCATTCAGATGAGACTCTTGGCTGGGAGTGATTGACCTTATCAGTGGCTTTCATATTTCAGAAAGGTACAATACAGGGTAAAAATTATTGTCACTGTGATATCAATTTTGTTTCAGTTTCAATTGCAGTCTTGCTTTTATTACTGCAGAGAGGCAAATTATACCATTATTCTCTTTCTTCATAAATGTTCTGTTTTGGATTATTCATCATTTTTGATGTAAAATGTTCTGAATTAAAGTTCCTTAAAAGAAACTACTTTTGCATATTTCAAAAGTCTGTCAAATTTATCGCTCACTTAAAAAAATCTTAATTCATGATTAAGGAGAAAATACAGAATTTGCACTGCTAACTTCAAACTCCTTTACATTAGTTTTTGATATTTAACATTCATAGCATACTTTGTTTTATGAAGGAGAAATTCACATATCCTGTGCCAAAGGTTAAAACAGCATCATATATCAACATTGCAGATGACAACTTCTTCAGTGAATAACCTCTAAGGGGAAAAGAGCTGAAAGCATAATCCATTCCTTATTTGGAAACTGGTTGGATAAATGATTGTGACTTACCACAGTCTGAAGTGGGACTAAGAGTGGACATTGCCTTCTTTGATGTTTTCTCAGCAGCTTTGGGAGTCTTTGGGGCAGCTGCATCTGAAAAAGAATAATTTTAAAACAACTTGATTAATAAATGTTTATCTTCTGTTGCAGGTCAGATAATTATATAGGAATTGTAAAACTATATCTTTTTAAAGATATCAAAAACCTTTCTGTACAAAATCCATCCAATGCTGCTTAATCATCCACGGTTTTAGTTTTAACTGGGTCTTTGGTGAATACTAAGTTTTTATAACGCTAAGAAATTCCTTAGTTCTCTGTGTTAATTTAACTTATACAAAAACCTGTCCGGTTGCACATTGTTAACATCAGACTTGAAAATTTTTTAGGCTCCTTTATTTTAACTGTTTGAGATTATTTTCATTTTGCTTTGTGCTATTAGACGTTTGTTTATCTGAGAGAAACTCTGCCCTAATCTTGTGTTAATAAGTTGTTTTGCCACAGATTGGTGGAAGGAATTCTGTTTTTAATTTTGCAGTTTAATGACAGGAAGAAAAGACAAACAGCATTGCATGCAGAGGAATGTTTTCCATTGTGAGTTCTCATGCTGCTGAATGTACTTACCAGCCACAGTAACTGAGCAAGAACATTCCATTTTCCCTGCAGAATTCTCAGCTATGCATTTGTAAAGGCCTTCATCTTCAGGCAGGACTTCCTCAATTGCAAGTGTATAAACTGATCCTGACATAAATAAAAGCTTTTGAGAGTTCACAATCCATATGGAAGTTTCAAATATACTTAACTCTTTACACACAACTTTTAAGAACCAATATTCATCAACTTCAACTTAATAAAAGTATGTTATAAACTTTTCTTAAATCCTTATTATTCAAAAGTCGCATAATACAAATAATAATTGGTTTAAGGAGTATTTTGACATTTGTAATACTGATGCGCAGTTACATCAAAAATCATTGCTGAACAATAAATATATATGTAGTCTTCAGGGTTCTAAAAAACTGAATGGAGATGAAAGTTTCCTTAGTTCAACAAGTAAATGAAATGTTATTGATAAATTTTACTGAACAATTTTTCATGTTAAGTATAATGTATTGTCAATATTTAGTAAGACTTAAGGTTTAAATTAAATCACCATTCATCCTTGGAAGTCAGTTACCTTCTTGTGATATATTAATGAACTTGGATGACTTGATGGCCTTTCCATTTATAGTCCAGGTGACTACTGGAGCTGGTTCAGCAGCAACTCGACACTGCAACAATAAACGTTCACCATCTACTACCTGAGTATCTTTTAATGTTTCCTTAAAAACAGGTGCATTTCCTGTGATTTCAGATTTCTGATCAATTATACCACCATCGATACATGAACATCCATTTTTACAATCACCATTATCATTTAAGTCCACTTTTACAGATTGAAGGTTTTCCGAATCATTATTTGCCTCTTTTCCAGTAGAATCTTGTTTCTCTGAGCTTACAGCACTCCTGATGTCAGACTGCACTTGCTTTGGTGTGATATTTTCTTGCGATATTTTAGGAGTGTTCTTTTTACCAAGTACTGCCCGAAAATCCACCTGCTGGGGACCTGAAATCTTTTTCTCTTCTTCAAATGAATTAGTTGTTTTGACATGTCTGGAAAGCGAATCTCGGAAGTTCATTTGTTCTGCTGATTGTTCCTTCAGTACTTCCTCAGAAAAGCTTTTGGTGATCACTTTCTTCCCCAGCACGCAACGGAAGTCTTTCTGCTCAGCCTCTTGCTGTTTGAGCTGCTCTGCTGACTGTTCTTTTGTTTCAACTTTTCTCCTAAGCACCCCACGGAATGTTTTCTCTTCCACTGTGCTTCCTCTTGTTTCGGCTATGTTCTTCTTGGCACTGTCTGGTTTAACAAAATTCTCTATGCCATCACCACTACCCTCCTTCTCTTCAAGGGCACTGGTGTTCCACTGCTCCTTACTGTTACCAGCAACAAAGGGAGAGAATTAACAAGAGGTTAATTTGTAAGCTAGCGAACAGCCCCAGGCTGAAGAATGTTTATAAAAGGGAAAGGCTTATTACAAGAACACAATCTATTACTGTACTGCATCACTGATGACTTCAGTGACCATGTATGGGCATGAGAAAAAGTGAAACAGACTCTGCTTGGACCATGTATTATGGCACAGCTGTATGATGTAAACAATTTGTTTGGTCACTTCTGGGGATTAATTTTGAATCTTTTCCAGATAAAACTGGCTGACCCTCGTACAGTCATGCAAAAATAGAACTCTCCCAAGTAATGTGGGAAACATACTTACTCTTCCTTGGCTTCGTCTCTGGAAAGGGAGCATTCTTTGACCAGTAGAGACACGTGGCAGCTACACTTGCCAACTGGGTTTCTGTTATTTGTGAAAGAAAAACAGATTGGGGGTGTAGGGGTTAAATTAAGTAATGCATAGATAGTTTAAAAACTAAATTGGCAATTATGAATAACTATATTAGTAAATGCGTTTGAAATGTAGCAAATGCTAGCAATTAAAAAAAACATATTGTTTATACATTTTGGTTATAAATACTTGCTATCTGTCCATCACAATCTGGGCAACATCCGTGCAAGAGGCTCACATACGGCTAGTGAACTGTTTATCAAAGCATAACAAATCTACTACAATTAGCTGGGTCAGATTGTAGGATGAGATACAATCAAGCTGCTAATTCTTCCACTGCAAAAGAAATGAACACTTTGTACTTATTAATGCACTGTCCAAAAGATTTGAGGATCGAGGTTGTAAGTAACAAAGCAAAGACTATTAACAACCTTCAGGAACTGATCAACTCTGCCTCAAATTTCCTACAAAACCACAGTGAGTGTTAGAATAGCATAGTCAAGGAGCGCCAGCTGGTGAAGGACGAGTCCAAAACCAGTCTTTACTCGAATAGATTTATTCGCAGAAAGCAACAGTACTGGTAAATATCTCCTAACTCAACTTCTGAGTTTCGAAGGGCTAAATTTTACTAAAAATTGGCCAGGAGTCAGGTTAGGGAAGTTTCCTGTAGGACTTCACTCTGTGATCTCTTGTGGGCTTTTTCGTATATGGATTTCAGTAAAGCGTTTGATAAGGTTCCCCATGGTAGGCTATTGCAGAAAATATGGAGGCATGGGATTGAGGGTGATTTAGCGGTTTGGATCAGAAATTGGCTAGCTGTAAGAAGACAGAGGGTGGTGGTTGATGGGAAATGTTCATCCTGGAGTTCAGCTACTAGTGGTGTACCTCAAGGATCTGTTTTGGGGCCACTGCTGTTTGTCATTTTTATAAATGACCTGGATGAGGGCGTAGAAGGATGGGTTAGTAAATTTGCGGATGACACCAAAGTTGGTGGAGTTGTGGATAGTGCGGAAGGATGTTGCAGGTTACAGAGGGACATAGATAAGCTGCAGAGCTGGGCTGAGAGGTGGCAGATGGAGTTTAATGCGGAAAAGTGTGAGGTGATTCACTTTGGAAGGAGTAACAGGAATACAGAGTACTGGCTAATGGTAAGAATCTTGGTAGTGTGGATGAGCAGAAAGATCTCGGTGTCCATGTGCATAGATCCCTGAAAGTTGCCACCCAGGTTGATAGCGTTGTTAAGAAGGCGTACGGTGTGTTAGGTTTTATTGGTAGAGGGATTGAGTTTCGGAGCCATGTGGTCATGTTGCAGCTGTACAAAACTCTGGTGCGGCCGCACTTGGAGAATTGCGTACAGTTCTGGTCACCGCATTATAGGAAGGATGTGGAAGCATTGGAAAGGGTGCAGAGGAGATTTACCAGGATGTTGCCTGGTATGGAGGGAAGGTCTTATGAGGAAAGGCTGAGGGACTTGCGGCTGTTTTCGTTAGAGAGAAGAAGGTTAAGAGGTGACTTGATAGAGACATACAAGATGATCAGAGGATTAGATAGGGTGGACAGTGGGAGCCTTTTTCCTCGGATGGTGGTGGCTAGCACGAGGGGACATAGCTTTAAATTGAGGGGTGATAGATATAGGACAGATGTCAGAGGTAGGTTCTTTACTCAGAGAGTAGTAAGGGCGTGGAATGCCCTGCCTGCAAAAGTAGTAGACTCGCCAACTTTAAGGGCATTTAAATGGTCATTGGATAAACATATGGATGATAATGGAATAGTTTAGGTTAGATGGGATTCAGATTGGTTTCACAGGTCGGCGCAACATCGAGGGCCGAAGGGCCTGTACTGCGCTGTAATGTTCTATGTTCTATGTTCATGCTATTCTCAGAAGCTCATCTGACGAGTTCAGTCCCATGTTCCTATGGCACCCAGCTTGCATTATCATGCAATTGCCAGTGGCAGAACCGCTCACCACTGGCATGATCTCCCAGCACAATGTTTAAACTGCAGCTGTGCACCAGGTCAAACAGTGTCAGCCACGGGCTGTCCTGCACAGGTCCTTGTGGGAAGAATTGCCCCTGAGATGATTGAGAAAAGGAAGTTATTTCCCTCCATCACCAACAGGGACCTTGAGGTCCTGGTGGGTGGGGTAGTGAGAAAGAGGGCCATCCTCTTTCCTCAGAACCAGTAGAAGAGACCATGGCACCAGACACTGCCAGCTTGGTTTGAAGTTGCCACTGAGTCAGTGTGGTGTCCACAGTCCAGAGAAATAGTCAGCAATATAGGAAGAACCTTTCCTTTCATGCAAAGATAAGTGCCATCATCTTCTCTCTGGTAACTTATGCTCATTCTAACAATGCCTCTGCCCCTACCTCCCAACGATCATGGTCTACTACATTCACTACCGCCTGCAGCATTTTGCACCAGTCGTTCTCACCCAGTCCACTTTCTCAATATTATTCACTTTGCATTCTCCCTGCACTGCCTAACTCTCTCTCACTAGGAAACCCTCACCATCTTTTTCCCACTTGCACTAACACTTACAGTTGTGCCAGCCACTTTCAACTCACTAAATACCTCCCTTTGTCTCACCACCCACAACAGGGTGGAGAGAAATGGATTATGAGGGGCCAGATATGTGTCCCTTAACCCCGATGTGGAGAAGATGCTTGCCTTAGCAAGAGAGGATAGATCCTGCTCATGTTGTGATGCTGAGAACTCCATGTCTCAGAAACTAAATAAGATTGATTGTCAAGCATTGTGCTGCTCTCCACCACTGTGAAAGTAGCTTTAACATGCCCAAACGTCTACGCCTATTTCACAACTCATTCTCTCTTTTGTCTTCTGATGGTGTCGATGGCTTTTGCACAGTCTTCATCTTCAAGAGAATGGCCTCACAAGTCATTGCCTCTTTCTTCATCTCTGAGGAAGAAGCCTCAGAAGATGCACCAGCAAGGTTTTCACCTGCATCCTTCACCAGCTAAGATATGGACACCTCAGTGAGTACATTATCTGGATGAGCGTTGGGAGCACTTTCTGGTGAGTATGTTACTGGCACACCTCCAGGACACTGACACCAATTAAGGAGTGCTGCAGACCAGTCAATTGCTTGGCTCTGTATAGAAGATGACTCCAAGATGTTTGAAGTCTATCATTTTGCATGGTCATGGAATGACACAACACAACGGTGAAGTAGATGGGGTTTTCTGACAATGGTTTCATGGTCATCATTGCATTTTTCATTTCAGATTTTATTGAATTCTGTTCCACGATTTGCCATGGTCCGTGGAACTTTACCTGCGTCACTGATTTATTAGTCTAGTGACAATATCAGTGTGTAATGCATCCCTACTGGTGAGGGCACTGAAGGTCTGGTACAATTAACTAGGGCTGATTTGGAGAAATCCATTGGCAGTGCCATCTTAATGAAGCTAACTGTCATGGAGGAACTGGCATTTTTACCCATTATAGAGTCACACGGGCATACAGCATGAAACAGAACCTTCGGTTTAACCAGTCCATGCCGACCATAATCCCAAATTAAATCCCAAATACCACCTGCCTGCTCCTGGCCCATATCCCTCCAAACCTTTCCTATTCATATATCCATCCAAACGTCTTTTAAATGTTGTAATTGTAGCTGTATCCACCACTTCACCAGGCAGTTCATTTGGTATCTCTCCCATCTCCTGGGATTCAACACAAAGACAACCTCCTTGATCTTTAAGAAGCTCAATGCTCTCTCTAGTTCCCCTCTTGCTCTTAATGTATTTGTAGAATTTCTTCGGATTATCCTTCACCTTATCTGCCAATGCTATCTCATATCCCCTCTTTGCCTTCCTGATTTCTCTCTTAAGAATGCCCCTACAATCTTTATATTGATTAAGAGATTCAACTGAACCAAGTTGTCTATATCTAAAAAAGATACTCTTTTATTCTTGCCAAGAACCACAATATCCTTATTCATCCATTGTTCCTTCATCTTACCAGCCTTATCCCTTCACTCTAACAGGAACAAAATGCCTCCGAACTCTCGTCATCACACTCTTGAGCGCCCCCTATTTGTTGGACGTCCTTTTACCTGTGAACTGTCTACTCCAATCAACTTTTGAAAGTTCTTGCCTCATACCATTAAAATTTGGCTTACTCCAAGCAAAGACTTTAACTTTTATGGAAGGCTTATCCTTTTCCATAACCACTTTGAAACTAATAGATTTATGATCACTAGACCCAAAGTGTTCCCCCACTTTTACTTCAGTCACCTGCCCTGCCTTATTGCCCAAAAGAAGGTTTTGCTCCTTCTCCAGTAGGAGCATCCACATATTGTAAAAGAAAACTTTCTTGAGCACATTTGACAAATTCATCACCATCCAAACCTTTAACACTATGGTAGTCCCAGTCAATGTTTGGAAAATTAAAATCCTCCCTTAATACAACCTTATTATGCTTACATATATCTGACATCTCCCTACCTATTTGTTTTTCAATTTCACTCTTACTATTGGAGGGCCTATAGTACAATACCATGGAAGTGATCTTTCCTTTCTTATTTGTAATTTCTACCCATATATTTTCACTGGACAATTTTTCAGAAATATCTTCCCTAGTTACAGCAGCAATGTATTCCTTAATCAAAAATGCCACCTCCCCTCCTTTCTCACCTCCTTTTCTATCTTTACTACAGCATCTAAAACCAGGAACATGAACTGCCAGTCTTGACCATCTCTCAGCCAAGTTTTCTGTAATAGCTATGATGTCCCAATACCAAAGCACAGGAGCTGGTGGAACACAGTACCAGGTAAAAAAAAACTGAACCCAGGACATAAGCAGTTACTAAGATAGTCTAGTATGGAATGGTTCTGAAAGACAATTACTTCATCAGAGTAAGTAATAAGTAACTGTAGATCAGATATCTTTATATAAAGGTAAGGATAATTGCAAAAGAGAATAAAGTAAAGGAAAGTTAAGCTGTATTTCAGTTGCTGTAGCTCACATGATATAAAGAGCCTTGCTTTTGC